GGCTCCACACCAACACAGGGCCTGAACTCATGACCCTAAGATCAGACCTGAGTCAAGACCAGGAGTTGGCCACCCAATGGACTGAGACACCCAGGTGCCCCTTGTTAGTGGGTTCTGTCCTGACATCCCTGCAGTTCTTGGGCACTGCAGCGTGTGTTTTAAAAACCTTAATATGAAAATGTCCAAACATACATAGCACATACAGTAGAAAGAATAATACAATCAACCCTTGGGTGTGCCTACCACCCATCTTTACCAGTGATCCCCATTTCTGCAAACAAGTTTTGGTTTTTCAAAAATCTGATGGGAATTTTACATTTACCCATAATAAGCCTGTTCAGGTATGTAAATTAGCTATCCCAGTGGCATGTAGCAATAAGCATTTATGATTGTGTTCACAGGTCTTTAGGTCAGCAGGGATGACTGTGTTTGGCACTGCATGTGATGGAAGGGTGCCAAGGGGCAAGCAAAAATATAAAGGTCCTCTTTAGATGTAGACTCAGAACTGGCCTTTTGGCACTCCTGTCACACCTACCTCCTGTTGGCCAAAGTAAGCCACGGGCCATGCCCCAAATCAGTGGGGTGGCAAGGACTATTCTTATGAAGTGTTCCAGGAACCATATAACGGACTCAACGGGCAAATCTAAACACTGGCCTCCTTGTCAATGTCATCTCAGTGTGAATACTTTTTCCATTATTACAGAACATTATCACCCATTATTTAACTGTCTTTTGTCTCCCCACTGAAGACTAAAATTTAGCTATCACTATTTTATCCATAGAGCTTAGCATAATGTTTAGTGCACACAGCATTTGTTTGGTAAATACTGTTTGAGTAAATGGATAAAGTAATTGAGGGGCTAGGTGAATAGGAAGTTGCTTTTGCTAAAGGCCAGAATCTAATAACCTGAAGAATAGAAAAACTTGGCTAGTAAGCACGGGTTAATGTGTGAGGATCCTACTGAATTGCAGATTAGTTCTGGAACTCAGTAGTTAAATTGTACTGAAAATACCAGAAAGTTGGGCTGGCAGTTAGTTAAAACCAATCATAAACTTTGTTGCAGAGAAACCTCTGCTTTCTACACTTTGCAGTAGAGTTCATGAGTTGGCCATTTGAAAAAAAAAAGTGCAGTCTTTGGTAAGCCTCTGCCTCCCCGTCTGGTTTTGTCGCTTGAGCTTTCTAGGTCAGTAGTCCTCTTGTTTTCTGAAAAGTCCACCGGTATCACACTTGTACCTTGGCAAACATCTGTCTGTTAGAATCATCATCCTCTGCTAACAAAATGATATGAGAGCTCTCTTCTCTCTGCACACCCCCAAATAGGCTAAATAAGAAATAAATTACCATCTGCTTATATCTACATAGATTTCTTTTTTTTAAATGAGTGAAACAGAATTTTTTATTTATTATGTTAGCCACTGTATAGTACATCATTAGTTTTTTATATAGTGCGTATAACACCCAGTGCTCATCACGACCCATGCCCTTCTTAATACCTCTCACCCTGCTACCAGCCACCACACGCCCTTCCCCTCTGAAACCCTCCGTTTGTTTCCCAGGGTCCATAGTCTCTCATGGTTTGTCTCCCTCTCTGATTTCTCCCCCTTCAGTTTTCCCTCCCTTCCCCTATGGTCCTCCATGCTATTCCTTATGTTCCACGTATGAGTGAAACCATATGATAATTATCTTTCTCTGCTTGACTTATTTCACTTAGCATAATCCCCTCCAGTTCCATCCATGTCGATGCAAATGGTGGGTATTCATCCTTTCTGATGGCTGAATAATTTTCCATTGTATATATGTACCATATCTTCTTTATTTATTCATCTGTTGAAGGGCATCTTGGCTCCTTCCACAGTTTGGCTATTGTGGACATTGCTGCTATGAATATTGGGGTGCATGTGCCCCTTTTCTCTACATCTGTATTTTTGGGGTAAAAACCTAGTAGTGCAATTGCTGGGTTGTAGGGTAGGTCTATTTTTAACATTTTGAGGAACCTCCATACTGTTTTCCAGAGTGGCTGCACCAGTTTGCATTCCCACCAACAGTGTAAGAGGTTTCCCCTTTCTCCACATCCTCTCCAACATTTGTTGTTTCCTGCCTTGTTAATTTTTGCCATTCTAACTGGTGTAAGGTGCTATCTCAATGTGGTTTTGATTTGAATTTCCCGGATGGCTAATGATGTTGGGCATTTTTTCTTATGTCTGTTAGCCATTTGTATGTCTTCTTTGGAGAAGTGTCTGTTCATGTCTTCTGCTCATTTTTTGACTGGATTATTTGTTTTTTGAGTGTTGAGTTTGAGAAGTTCTTTATCGATTTTGGATATCAACCCTTTATCTGTAATGTTGTTTGCAAATATCTTCTCCCATTCTGTGGGTTGCCTCTTAGTTTTGTTGACTGTTTCCTTTGCTGTGCAGAAGCTTTTTATCTTGATGAAGTCCCAAAAGTTCATGTTTGCTTTTGTTTCCCTTTGGAGACGTGTCTTGAAAGAAGTTACTGTGGCCGATGTCAAAGAGGATACTGCCTATGTTCTCCTCTAGGATTTTGATGGATACCTGTCTCACAATGAGGTCTTTCATCCATTTGAGTTTATCTTTGTGTATGGTGTAAGAGAATGGTTCAGTTTCATTCTTCTGTATGTAGCTGTCCAGTTTTCCCAGCACCACTTATTGAAGAGACTGTCTTTTTTTCCATTGGATATTTTTTCCTGATTTTTCAAAGATGAGTTGACCATAGAGTTGAGGGTCCATTTCTGGGCTCTATTCTGTTCCATTGGTCTGTGTGTCTGTTTTTGTAGCAATACCATGCTGTCTTGGTGATCACAACTCTGTAATATAGCTTGAAGTCAGGCAGCGTGATGCCCCCAGCTTTGTTTTTCTTCTTCAGCATTCCCTTGGCGATTCGGGGTCTTTTCTGGTTCCATACAAATTTTAGGATTGTTTGTTCCAGCTTCTTGAAAAATGCCAATGGTATTTTACTAGGGATGGCATTGAAAGTGTAGATTGCTCTGGGTAGCATAGACATTTTAACAATGTTTATTCTTCCAATCTGTGGGCATGGAATGTTTTTCCATCTTTTTGTGTCTTCTTCAGTTTCTTTCATGAGTGTTCTGTAGTTCCTAGAGTATAGATCTTTTACCTTTTGGTTAGGTTTATTCCTAGGTATCTTACGGTTTTTGGTGCTGTTGTAAATGGAATCGATTCCTTAATTTCTCTTTCTACAGTTACATTGTTAGTGTATAAGAAAGCAGCTGATTTCTGTGCATTGATTTTGTATTCTGCCACATTACTGAATTGCTGTATAATTTCTACTAATTTGGGGGTGGAGTCTTTTGGGTTTTCCACATAAAGTATTATGTCATCTGGGAAGAGAGAGAGTTTGACTTCTTCTTTGCCAATTTGGATGCCTTTTATTTCTTTTTGTTGTCTGGTTGCTGATGCTAGGACTTCTAGTGGTATATTGAACAATAGTGGTGAAAGTGGGCATCCCTGTCATGTCCCTGACCTTAAGGGAAAAGCCTTCAGCTTTTCCCCATTGAGAATGATAGTTGCTGTGGGCTTTTGATAGATGGTTTTTATGATATTGAGAAATGTTCCCTCTATCCCTACACTCTGAAGAGTTTTAATCAGGAAAGGATGTTGTATTTTGTCAAATGCTTTTTCTGCATCAATTGAGAGGATTGAATGGTTCTTTTTTAATGTGCTCTATCACATTGATTGATTTGCAAATGTTGAACCACCCTTGCATCCCAGGAATAAATCCCACTGGGTGTGGTGAATAATCCTTTTAATGTACTGTTGGATCCTATTGGCTAGGATCTTGTGGAGTATTTTGGCATCCATGTTCATCAGGGATATTGGTCTGTAATTCTTTTTGATGGGGTCTTTGCCTGGCTTTGGGATCAGGGTAATGCTGGCTGATAGAAGGAGTTTGTCTACATAGATTTCTAAGAAGAAAGTGTATGCATGAGAAAACTCCGAGTTTCTCTGTATAGATTATTCAAAAAGGACACATGAAATTGGTAAATGTATTAAACTAGATTTGTATATTTTCATGCCTGATTTTCATTCTGTAGAATTTTTTTTCTTAACAGCAAAGTTTTGTTGCTAGGGACTGTCATCTAAGACTCGGAACATTTAAAATATGAAGCTAGAGTTTACAAAACCAATTTAAATTTTAAATTTAGTATTGGCATATAAAAGTAGTTTTATTTTTATTCTTTCAGTTTTATTCAATTATTCTTGACATACAACTTTTTTTTAAAAGATTTTTTATTAGTTTATTAGAGAGTGAGACAGCATGAAAGTGGGGAGGGTCAGAGGGAGAAGCAGACACCCTGCTGAGCAGGGAGCCTGATGCAGGACTTGATCCCTGGACTCCGGGATCATGACCTGAGCAGAAGGCAGTCGCTTAAGTAACTGAGCCACCCAGATGCCCTTGACATATAACATTGTATTAGCTTAAGGAAAACAACATAATGATTACATATTTATATATTTTAAAATGATCACCACAATAATTTCAGTTAACATCACACATTACAAATTTATTTTCTTGTGATGAGAACTTTTAAGATTTCTCTAAGCCACTTTCAAATATATAATACAGTACTGTTAACTATAGTCACCATGCTGTACATTACATCCCCAAACTTATTTTTAACTATATCTTTTGGCCACCTTCACCCATTTCTGTCACCTTTCTACCCCATCACCCATTTTTGTCACCCCTCTACCCCTGCCTCTGATAGCCACCAGTCTGTTTTCTGATTCTGTGAGTTTGGTTTTTAAGTATGGCTTTATATCATGATCCCATCTTTTCCCATAACTATAAGAAATATAATTTTACATCAGTGGTAAATTATAAATAGTAAATATATTATCAGTGGTAGTAATGAAAATATTCCTTTATAAGAAGAGAAGTAGAGTGAAATTTTGAATTGCATATGGACTATCATGATCATTCTGTTAAAACTCATTTTGTTTTGTTTTGCATTGTTTAGATTTGAGGATTGCATAATCCTGCCTCCAGCACCAGTGGTTTCTCTGTTTGGTGATCAATGTGACTCACAAGAACTTCTTCAGTAACAAACGAAATGATCCAGGGGCGTGGAAAATATGACTTTTACATTGGTCTGGGATTGGCTATGAGCTCCAGCATTTTCATTGGCGGGAGTTTCATTTTGAAAAAAAAAGGTCTTCTGCGACTTGCCAGGAAAGGCTCCATGAGAGCAGGTAGGCTGTGCCCTATGTGACTGTAAAATGACATATGTGTGTGCTTGTGTACTTGGGTTCTTTGATGGTAGACAACCATATCTTTATTCCTAGTTAGTATGTTCAATACTTAGAATTATGCAAGCCTTGTAAATTTTATAGAGAATCAAACATCAGTTTTGTAATGAGAAAAATTAAAAGTGAGACAATGTCAAAATAAGCTATTAACTCCTGCAATTATTATCAAAGTGGAAATAGGGACCAAGGCCCAATTAGCATCCAGCCTTATCTTTAAATTTTGATATGTGTGCAGTGAAGGAAATAGGGTTTATGAATAGAATCAGAATGTTACTGAAGGCTAGGATTTTTTGTCAAGAATAATAGTTTTACTTTTACCTTAAGACATTTTTCCTGATGATCTCAAATTGGCAGGAAGGGGGAAAGAGAAGGCTTACTGTGGTTAAAGAGTATTCTGTTCAGTGATTTTCTGAAGGGTGGTATAGATTATTTCCCCAGAAACTGCTGACAAGTCACAAGACCCTGGGGGATACTCAATATGATTAAACCCCACTCTGACTTCATTTGGTGCATTCATGACAGCATTATTTTGCGTTCTGGTCATGTTCCATCATTCAGCCTCTGCTTTAGTTCTAGACCTGGTTCTGACCTCATAAGAAGACCTGCTTTGGCAGTAAAATAATAAATCACTTTCTCCCGCTTCCTGTGCCATCTTTATGGCCAGAGCTAGTAGCCTCTGTTAGAGGTTAGTGGGCAGAGGAGAAAGTATTAGCATATGCTGCTTGAACAAGTATATTCCTCATTCTTGTCTTAAGGCAGCTACTCTCATTGTCCATGATAGATATGCTTGTCAAAGGGTTAATTTGCATTGGCTTTTTCTTTTGGACAATGGCTTAAGTACCAATTAATTCCTGATTTTATTAATTTTGGGGGGAGGAAAGTCAAGTAGGAAGATGAGCATCTTAGCAGCTCGACTGATGAATGCTCAATCTTTTTATGTATGGTCAATATAAAACCCCTTTCTCCAAGGTTACTGCCTCATAACTGGGACTAACCCACACCTATATGGCTTATCCACATTCAGACTAATTTATTTGAAGTTGGGTTACTTCTTACTGGTTCATTTTCTTTACTATTATTGAAGCTGAGTTCACAAAACAAAAGAATGAAGTATAGACCGAATATAAGGATTGATTTAATTCCTTCAATATAGTGTACTGAACAGTATAGTGCAAACCTAAAAATTTTAACATTATTATGATCCTCGTCCCTTTTTCTAAGATAATCATAAAAAGATTATTTTAGAAATTCCCTTATACAGTCATGATGGAACCTTTATTTAAAGTAATAATCAACAAATGAGGTATTTCAAAATCTGTCATTGCTAATAGTTGTCATAAATTTATAAGAGTCTGATAATCTTCCAAAAAAGTGAAATATTTTTTCATTCACAGGTCAAGGTGGCCATGCATATCTTAAAGAATGGTTGTGGTGGGCTGGATTGCTATCAAGTATGTATATAGAATATTTCAAGGAAATACTATCGTTGTATATTAAAGTATTTGCATATACTAATACAGCCTCATATTACTAGCACATTTTGTTATTTAATTTTTTTTTTTTTTTTTTTTTTTTTGAGATTTATCTGTTCTAGAGAGAGAGAAAGTGAGGGAGAGAGAGGGGCAGAGAATCCTGAAGCAAACTCCCCACTGTGCACGGAGCCTGATGCTGGGCTCAATCCCAGCACCCCAAGATCACACAACCTGAGCCAAAGTCAAGAGTTTGCTTAACCGACGGAGCCCCTAGCACTTTTTAAAATTTTAAATAAATCCTTTTTTAATGAACAGTACTCAAAATATAAAATTTAAGCCAGTAAAAGTCATGTAGCAGTTTAATAGTTTATTTAATTTGAATGAGAAGACTTTCTTTTACCTGTCTGATTAAAATATGTCTGATATATGTGTTTTTTAAAATTCTCAGTTTAAGAAGGTAACTTTGAGGGGTGCTTAGGTGGCTCAGTCAGCTAAGCATCTGCCTTCAGCTCAGGTCATGATCCTGGGGTCCTGGGATCGAGCCCCACATCGGGCTCCCTGCTCAGTGGGGAGCCTGCTTCTCCCTCTGCCTCTCTCTCTCTCTCTCTGTCGCTCATGAATAAATAAATAAAATCTTTTAAAAAAAAAGGTAACTTTGAAAGTAAAATATCCTCCTTTTAATTCCTCCCCCTTCATTGATTTTCATTCCAAATTGGAATTTTGGAATTTAGAATTTTGAGCCTGGGTGGCTCAGTTGGTTAAGCGTCTGCCTTTGGCTGGGGTTGTGATCCTGGGTTCCTGGGATCATGTGGACCCAACCCCCCCCCACCTCCACCCCCAGCGTAGGACTCCCTGCTTAGTGGGGAGCCTGCTTCTCCCTCTCCCTCTGCCAACTCCCCCTACTTGTGCCCTTTCTCAAATAAAATCTTTTTTTTTTAAAGGAAAGGTATGCATTTGATAAGAGAGTCTATGCTTATTTTGATGATTACCTTTAAAAAGGTACGTAGAAAAATGATTCTTAAGACACCAAACCTTCAAAGTATTCAGGATTAAATTTTTTTTTTTTTTTAATTTATTTATTTGACAGAGAGAGAGATAGCGAGAGCAGGAACACAAGCAGGGCGAGTGGGAGAGGGAGAAGCAGGCTTCCCGCGGAGCAGGGAGCCCGATGCGGGGCTCGATCCCAGGACCTGGAATCATGACCTGAGCCGAAGGCAGACGCTTAACGACTGAGCCACCCAGGCGCCCCTAGGATTAAATTATGTAAATGTTCTCTATAAGCTTAAGAGTGGTTGAAATAACGAAGAGACTGACTTGACTGTTCATTCAACAAATATTTATTGATCATTTCTGGTATGCCAAGTGTTATTCTGGGTGCTGGAGATAAAACTATTCAAACAGAAAAATCCTTACCCACATGAGACTTAACATTCTAGATGGAAGCAAATAATAAACTAGATAAATACATTAAAATGTGTATGTTAGTGATAAATACTAACATTTGCTAGGAATAAAGTAGGGAAAGGATGTAACATGAAGGATAGATAGGTTTACATTTTAGATGGGAGGCTAAGACAGTTCCCTTATATTTTAGAAGAGGGGACCAGAGCAGATCTTATTATTTGATTAAAAGATGTAAAGTGAGGGAGTTAGCCATATGGATATTTGGGGCAGGAACATTTTAAGCAGGAGGAAACAGTAAATGTGAAGACCATGAGGCAGACCAAGCCTAGCCTGTTGAAATGTGACAGGCCACCTGCAAGATAGCCCACAAGGATTCTCATCCCCTGGTATTCACACCTTCTTATAATCCCCTCTCACATTGAATTAATGTTGGCCTGGTATGATCTTAGAATGTAAAAGAAGTGATGATGGGTCACCTGGGTGGCTCAGTCAGTCGGTTTAGCAGCTGTCTTCGGCTCCATTCCTGATCCCAGGGTCCTGGGATCGGGGCTCCCTTCTCAGCAGGGAGCCTGCTTCTTCCTCTCCCTGCTACTCCCCCTGCTTGTGCTTGCTCCCCCCACCCCCGTGTCAAATAAATAAATAAAATCTTTTAAAAAAACAAAGTAGGGGCGCCTGAGTGGCTCAGTCGGTTAAGCGTCTGCCTTCGGCTCAGGTCATGATCCCAGGGTCCTGGGATCGAGTCCCGCATCGGGCTCCTTGCTCCGCAGGAAGCCTGCTTCTCCCTCTCCCACTCCCCCTGCTTGTGTTCCCTCTCTGACTGTGTCTCTCTCTGTCAAAAAAATAAATAAAATCTTTAAAAAAATAAATAAATAAAAAAACAAAGTGATGAAGTGTGACTTTAAGGCCAAGTCACCAAAGGCATTGTGGCTTTACCTTGATTGCTTGGATGCCTACTCTGAGGGAAACCAGGTGTGGTGGTGTTAGGACATGCCCGCAGCGTGAAGAAGGTTCCCAGGCCATAGCCAGTACCAACTTGTCAGTCATGTGACTAAGCCACCTCGGTTGTGTTCTTCAGTTCCAGTCCAACCTTCAGATGACTGCAGCCCCAACTTCTATCTTTGACTGTAGACCTCTTAAAAAACCCTGAGTGAGAAGAACTTAATGATCTCTTTTTTCTGAAGTCTTGACCAACAGAAACTATGAGAAACCATGAAGTCTTGACCAACAGAAAAAAGGCTTTTGTTTTAAGGTCCTAAATTTTGGAGTGCTTTATTTTAAATACTGCACTGGATTATTAAAGCCCGAAGGTTACGTTAAAGAGGAAAGAATAGCAAGGGAGTGAATGTGGGCGAAGTAGCAGTAAGAATGTGGGGGAGTCTGCTTCAGGATTCTCTGCCCCCCCCCACCCCCCCGCTCACTTTCTCTTTATTTATTTGACAGAGAGAGCCAGAGAGGGAACACAAGTAAGGAGAGTGGGAGAGGGAGAGGTAGGCTTCCTGCAGAGCAGGGAGCCCGATGCGGGGCTCAATATCAGGACCTTGGGATCATGACCTGAGCCGAAGGCAGATGCTTAATGACTGAGCCACCCAGGCGCCCCAGATTAGCAAACTTTTAAATCTGACAGTATCAAGTGGGACAAAGGGAGCTCTCATACTCTGCTAAGTGAAATTTGGTATAACCATTTTGGAAAATACAGTAACCATAAGTGATCTTTCTATGAGATCACATCCTTCCCCTGCATAAGATTTCCCAGTGGCTTTTCAATTCAGATGAAATCTGTATCATGATTCACAAAGGTTGTGTAGCATGTGGCCCTGGCTACTTCTGACTCCAGGGCTGCTCTTCCCCTCGCTCATTCTGCTGGAACCATCCTTGTCTTCCTTGCTGTTCAGACATGCCAGACCTTGCGTGTCTTGTCAAAGGCTTGTACTTGCTGTTCTCCCTGATTGGGATATTCTTCCCCCGGATAGCTACAAGTAAATACTTCACTTCATACCAGACTGCTCAAAAGTTTTCCATTGGAGTGCCCTTGCCTGGCACCATGAGCCTGCCTTCACCAGCACTCCATTCCTTTCTACACTGCATGGTTAAACACTTGACATGTGTATTTTGCCAATTTTCCCTCACTAAAATGTAAGTTTTTAGGAGAACAGTATTTTTTTTGTTTTTTTATTTTTTTAAAAGATTTTAATTAATTTGAGAGAGCATGAGAGAGAGAGTGAGGGGAGGGGCAGAGGGAGAGGGAGAAGCAGACTCCCGCTGAGCAGGGAACCTGGTTGCAGGACTCCCATCCCAGGATACTGGGATCATGACCTGAGCACAAGGCAGACTCCTAATGGCTGAGCCACCCAGGTGCCCAGGAGAACAGTATTTTTGTTTTGCTTACTGTTGTATTTCCTGATCCTAGAATAGCATCTGGCACATTGTAGGTACCTAAGGATGTCTTTTGAATATAAGAGTTGGGTTTAAAAAGAAAAAACTAGTGAAAAAGACTTGGAAGAAGTGCTTTCATAGAGTTTTAGCTGCTTCTAATTGATTTGTGTTTGTTGTGATAGGATTTATTAAAATTTTTTTTAAAGAATTTTTATTTTTTTGACAGAGAGATAGCGGGAGCAGGAACACAAGCGTGGGGGGAGTGGGAGAGGGAGAAGCAGACTCCCCACTGAGCAGGGAGCCCGATGCGGGGCTTGATCCCAGGACCCTAGGATCATGACCTGAGCTGAAGGCAGACACTTGATGACTGAGCCACCCAGGTGCCCTTTATTTAAATTTTTTTAAAAATATACATAAGGGCGCCTGGGTGGCTCAGTTGGTTAAGCGACTGCCTTCGGCTCAGGTCATGATCCTGGAGTCCCGGGATCAAGTCCCGCATCGGGCTCCCTGCTCAGCAGGGAGTCTGCTTCTCCCTCTGACCCTCCCCCCTCTCATGTGCTCTCTCTCTCTCATTCTCTCTCTCAAATAAATAAATAAAATCTTAAAAAAAAAAATACATAAGCATAAATTGGACCTCTTCAGTTAAAATTACAGATTTGTATTTTTTTTCTAAAAAAATTTACAGATTTGTATTATTTCTAATTGGCTTGGATTCTGTTCTAATGTTGGTAATTTACAGGAGAACCCTTATGAGTAGATGGGAGAAAATAAAGAAATTACTAAATACAATTGAAGTAGCATATAAAAAATATATGTATACATTTGACCCTTCAACAACATGGGACTTATGGGCACTGACCCCCTGTGCAGTTGAAAATCTGCATATAACTCTTGACTCCCCAAAAACTTTACTATTAGCATACTATTGACCAGAAGCCTTAACCAATAACAAAGTTGATTAACACATACTTTCTATGTTTTATGTATTATATACTGTATTCCAAACAATAAACTAGAGAAAAGAAAATCATACAAAATACATTTACAGTGCTGTTAAAAACCCACACGAGTGGATGCTTCAGGTTTAAACTCCTGTTAAGTTCAAGGGTCAAGGGGTGCCTGGGTGGCTCAGTCATTAAGCGTCTGCCTTTGGCTCAGGTCACGATCCTAGGGTCCTGGGATCAAGCCCCGCGTTGGGCTCCCTGCTCCGCGGGAAGCCTGCTTCTCCCTTTCCCACTCCCCCTGCTTGTGTTCCCTCTCTCGCTGTTTCTCTCTCTGTCAAATAAATAAATAGAATATTTAAAAAAATAAGTTCAAGGGTCAACTGTACATGAAAATAAAATGTGGCATTTCCGTTTTGAGTAATTTGTTCTGAGAGTTTTCTTTTGTTGTCTATCTCCAAGTGGGAGCAGGTGAGGTGGCCAACTTTGCTGCATATGCCTTTGCACCAGCCACCCTAGTGACTCCATTAGGAGCTCTCAGCGTCCTAGTAAGGTAAGGATGCTATGCTTCGTGTGTAGGAACAATAGTTAGTAGATTAGTCCATAAAGCATTCGGTGCCATCTAAGTACACATGCTCAGCATAATTTACATTTAAACAATCTTGAGAACTTTTTTTTTTAAAGCTGCTTAGTAATTTGCTTTTAAAGGGTTACTTTTGTGCATAGGCGTGCTGTCAATTTGCAGGAGAAAATGCTTCTATGCTTTGTCTTGCTTGTATTCAGAGCCAGCAATAGTTCTACTTTTATTACAATTTTTTAAAATTTCAAGTTGGACTTGTCACAACACTTATCATTTGAGACATGTACACTTTTGTAGATGATGGTTGGTGATAAATCAGTTTCTATACCTACAGAAAATCAATGATTTGCGCAAGGTTATGTTCCTCTGAAGACTGGTCTGGGGTACTCCTTTGGAAGGAGCAGTCCAAGACTTGTCCTTTTTCTGTTATTTTAATGATTAGCCCAAACAGCTAAGCCCATATTGAAGTTTGGGTTTTGGTTACTGTTCTCAAAGTTGATTGATTGATAGGTTTTTTTTAATCTTTGTTTCCCCCCAAGATAGTGTGTGTGTGTTTAAATTGGTATTATATGTAAGTTACATAATTTTTCAAGATACTATATAATCGTAGAATATAAAGATATGTTGTGGTACCTGTCTTTCACCCTTAATTTTCTGTATGCTATGTCATATTTATAGGTTTACATTATAAATTTTTTAGATTTGGTTAAAACTGGCTATAAAGTATTAAAACTTGATAATTTAATAGGCAAATTAATAGAATTACATGAACACATAGGAAGGATGCATCAACTGGTACGGATAAATGAAAGTTGAGCAAATTTTAAGCATTGGTTTGGACATGGATTCTTAGGTTATAAATTTGTACCGCAGCTCCATTTATTGTAAACTTCATACTGATTTTCTACGGTAGAAATATGGTAACTATACTAGTGTATGAAGAAACCATTGTTTTGCTGGAAAGTTTAATTTTATGCTTGAGTGTGCCTTTTCTTTACCTTGTCTGAAAGCCAAAGTGTCTTTACAAGTTCACAGTGTTTTAGTTTTTTAATAATTTAAATTCTTTGTTGTGTTGATATTTAAAAATGAGAAAAGTGGTTGATTATTTTAATGTTCTCCACCCCTTCCCCATTTTAGTGCCATTCTTTCTTCATACTTCCTAAATGAAAGACTTAATCTTCATGGGAAAATTGGATGTTTGCTAAGTATTCTAGGATCTACAGTTATGGTCATTCATGCTCCAAAAGAAGAGGAAATTGAGACTTTAAATGAAATGTCCCACAAGCTGGGAGATCCAGGTAAGAAACAAGAAAAGCTTTATCAGTCTTACTATTTCACTTTTTAATTTAGTTTTTATTTTAACCAAAATTTTATGTGCATGTAAAGAGGCCCGTTGTTCTACATGGCTTATTATGAAAAATAATGGTCATTTTCCTCTCCCACCAGCCCCAAACGCCTTATTTATTTTGTTCTTTAATTCTGTGTCTCTAAATAACATGCTTATACTGCTGCTATTCTCTTTGGCTTTAGGCATGATATATTATATTTGCAACCTACTGTGTCTATCTGGTTTTGTTTAAATGATTTAATTACATTATAATCACTATATAACTTTTATTCCCAGCTTAGACATATGATACAACTGCTTTTCCTTCCTTGTTTGATTTATGTTTTTTCTTAACTGATAATGATCATGTTTGATCACTTTTCTGTGACTTTATCAATCCATCCTGAAACACTTCTCCAGTGGTCTTACTTCTACCCTCAGTAATTTCAAACATATTAGGTATTCTGCAGTTTCACCTTTCTGGAAATTTTCCCAGAGTCTTATGTGGCTTTAGTCCAGACTGGTATCTTGAGCTGCCAGCACATTTGTCATTGTGGACTTTCCTTCATCAGCATCCTGAAGGATCCCCTTCACTTTCTTTTTTTTCTTGGCTCTGAATCCTGGGTTTGCCCCTTTATTTTGGTTGGAGCCACTATTGTAGGAGACAAGAAAGGCATAGAAGAGATGAGACTTTTTAAGACCTTGTATATATAAAAATGTCTTTAATCCATGTGACCTCATTGTCTTCTCACTTGCAACACAGTTGATTCTTTATCTTTTATATGTGACCTATATTATGTCTTTAGCAACCTTTAAGATGTCCTCTTTGCCCTCATCATCTGAAATTTACCACTAAGGAACCTAGATGTGGGCTACTTTTTATCCATTTTGCTAGGTACTTGATGGATTTTTTTAAATTTGGAAATGTATATCTTATTCTAGGAAATCAAATTGGTTCTTTGATATTCTTGGTTTTCTCTTTCTGAAATTCTTCTTACTCTTCTGTTGATTGGACCTCCTGAAATATACAATGACTTTTCTTATATATATATTTTCCCCCGTTTTTACCGCTTTTTCCTTTTAGTTCTGCCTTTTGGGAGATTTCCTCAGTTTTGTCTTTGCAGCCCTTCTTTTGAGTTTTTATTTCTGCTATTACATTTTTAATTTCCAAGAGCTTGCTTTTGCTTTTTGGTTGTGTGTGTGTATGTCAAAAAAAAAGTGAAATTCATCCTCAACATTTTGCAGATGTACAGTACACTATTGTCAACCACATGTGTTGTGTTGTGCAGCAAGTCCCCAGAGTCTTGGTTATTTAAAAGTCTTTCTGCAAACTTCAATATCAGGATTATTTGTGGGCTCTGTTTTTTCTTTTTAGTCATTTAGTCTTATCTTTCGGCAGTTTCGATCAAATGCCGGATATAGAATATTAAAAAGTGTAAAGGCTCAGGGCGCCTGGGTGGGTCAGTCGTTAAGCATCTGCCTTCGGCTCAGGTCATGATCCCAGGGTCCCGGGATGGAGCCCCACATCTGGCTCCATGCTCCGCAGGAAGCCTGCTTCTCCCTCTCCCACTTCCCCTGCTTTTATTCCCTCTCTCGCTGTGTCTCTGTCAAATGGGTGGATAAAATCTTTAAAAAAAAAAAAAAAGTGTAAAGGCTCTAGGTGATGTTTTATTCTTTCAGAAGGAATCTAAATTTCTTCTGTTGGGCAGATACGAGTACAGCAGATCACTTTAACTTGAAGTGTTGCTTCACTCTTTGTTGAGGCTGGTTTCTTTCCATTTTGCCTGTGTTCTTAATCATAGACCCTCTTTCTCTCAACTGATAGCCTGGGATGTTTACCTGGACCCTCCACCTGGGTGAACTTCGAATGGCAGTGTCTGTGTCAGCATTCCAAGACTGCACGTGTCTTCACTCAGGTCCCTGGCATTTTCACCAGGCTATCTATTTGGTTTCTCAGACCTGGGCATGTACAGCTTCTGTGCCCACAAATACCTTAAGGGGAATTGCACACAGAAATTTGCGCTTAACTTCTCTTCAGTTCCTTCCTTTCTGGAATCTTGGCCCCTATCTCCCAGCTGCTTAGGCAGCCCAAAATTCCAAGTTTTTATTTTTACCTAGTCTACTGAAATTTCCACAAGCTCCAGGTCACCACTTTCTGCTGGTCTTTATGCCCATCCTTATTCCCTGCTCTAGAACTGGTAGTCATCACAAGGGAGAAAGCAGAGCTGGTGTTGACCTTTTCTCCAGATTTTCACCTTTCAAGTTCCAGCTGCTTTGCTCTGGTATTTCATCATTGTCTCTCTGAAGATTTATTAATAGTATTTTTATTGTTTTGGGTTTTTTTATTATGTTACGTTAATCACCATACATTACATCATTAGTTTTTGACGTAGTGTTCCATGATTCATTGTTTGCGTATAACACCCAGTGCTCCATGTGGAGCGTGCCCTCTTTAATACCCATCACAAGGCGAACCCATCCTCCCACACCCCTCCCCTCTAGAACCCTCAGTTTGTTTTTCAGAGTCCATCGTCCCTCATGGTTCATCTCCCCCTCCGATTTCCCCCCTTCATTCTTCCCCTCCTGCTATCTTCTTTTTTTTTTTTTAACATATAATGTATTATTCGTTTCAGAGGTACAGATCTGTGATTCAACAGTCTTCCACAATTCACAGTGCTCGCTATAGCACATACCCTCCCCGATGTCTATCACCCAGCCACCCCATCCCTCCCACCCCCCACCACTCCAGAAACCCTCAGTTTGTTTCCTGCGATTAAGAATTCCTCATATCAGTGAGGTCATATGATACATGTCTTTCTCTGATTGACTTAATTTCGCTCAGCATAACACCCTCCAGTGCCATCCACATTGTTGGAAATGGCAAGATCTCATTCCTTTTGATGGCTGCGTAATATTCCATTGTATATATATATATCACATCTTCTTTATCCATTCATCTGTCAATGGACATCTTAGCTCTTTCCACAGTTTGGCTATTGTGGACATTGCTGCTATAAACATTGGGGTGCACATACCCCTTCGGATCCCTACATTTTTATCTTTGGGGTAAATACCCAGTAGTGCAATTGCTGGATCCTATGGTAGCTCTATTTTCAACTTTTTGAGGAACCTCCATACTGTTTTGCAGAGTGGCTGCACCAGCTTGCATTCCCACCAACAGTGAAGGAGGGTTCCCCTTTCTCCACATCCCCGCCAACATCTGTCGTTTCCTGACTTGTTAATTTTAGCCATTCTGACTGGTGTGAGGTGGTATTTCATTGAGGTTTTGATTTGGATTTCCCTGATGCCAGCAATGTTGAGCACTTTTTCATATGTCTGTTGGCCATTTGGATATCTTCTTTGGAAAAATGTCTGTTCATGTCTTCTGCCCATTTCTTGATTAGATCTTTTGTTCTTTGGGTGTTGAGTTTTAAGAAGTTCTTTATAGATTATGGATACTAGCCTGTTACCTGATATGTCATTTGCAAATATCTTCCCCCATTCTTTCGGTTGTCTTTTGGTTTTGTTGACTGTTTCTTTTGCTGTGCAAAAGATTTTTATCTTGATGAGGTCCCAGTAGTTCATTTTTGCCCTTGCTTCCCTTGCCTTTGGCGATGTTTCTAGGAAGAAGTTGCTTCGGCTGAGGTCAAAGAGGTTGCTGCCTGTGTTCTCCTTTAGCATTTTGATGGACTCCTGTCTCACATTTTGGTCTTTCAACCATTTGGAGACTATTTTTGTGTGTGGTGTAAGGAAATGGTCCCATTTCATACTTCTGCATGTAGCTGTCCAATTTTCCCAACACCATTTGTTGAAGAGACTTGTCTTTTTTCCATTGGACATTCTTTCCTGCTTTGTCGAAGATTAGTTGACCAGAGTTGAGGGTCCATTTCTGGGTTCTCTATTCTGTTCCATTGATCTATGTGTCTGTTTTTGAGCCAGTACCATACTGTCTTGATGATGACAGCTTTGTAATAGAGCTTGAAGTCTGGAATTGTGATGCCGCCAGCTTTACTTTTCTTTTTTTTTTTTTTTTAACATTCCTCCTGCTGTTCGAGGTCTTTTCTGGTTCCATACAAATTTTAGGATTATTTGTTCCATTTCTTTGAAAAAAGTGGATGGTATTTTGATGGGGATTGCATTGAATGTGTAGATTGCTCTAGGTAGCATTGACATCTTCACAATATTTGTTCTTCCAATCCATGAGCATGGAACGTTTTTCCATTTCTTTGTGTCTTCCTCAATTTCTTTTATGAGTATTTCATAGTTTTCTGAGTACAGATTCTTTGCCTCTTTGGTTAGATTTATTCCTAGGTATCTTATGGTTTTGGGTGCAATTGTAAATGGGATCGACTCCTTAATTTCTCTTTCTTCTGTCTTGTTGGTGTATAGGAATGCCACTGATTTCTGTGCATTGATTTTATATCCTGCCCCTTGACTGAATTCCTGTATGAGTTCTAGCAGTTTTGGGTTGGAGTCTTTTGGGTTTTCCACATAAAGTATCATATCATCGGCAAAGAGTGAGAGTTTGGCTGCTGCTTTGCTGATTCGGATGCCTTTGATTTCTTTTTGTTGTCTGATTGCTGTGGCTAGGACTTCTAATACTATGTTGAATAGCAGTGGTGATAGTGGACATCCCTGCCATGTTCCTGACTTTAGGGGGAAAGCTCTCAGTTTTTCCCTATTGAGAATAATATTTGCTGTGGGTTTTTCATAGATGGCTTTTATGATATTGAGGTATGTACCCTCTATCCCTATGCTCTGAAAAGAGTTTTGATCAAGAAAGGATGCTGTACTTTGTCAAATCCTTTCCTGCATCTATTGAGAGGATCATATGGTTCTTGTTCTTTATTTTATTAATGTATTTTATCACATTGATTGATTTGCGGATGTTGAATCAACCTTGCAGCCCATGGCTAAATCCCATTTGGTCGTGGTGAATAATCCTTTTAATGTACTGTTGGATCCTACTGG